GCTATGGAAGGTTCTTGTTTTATCGTTTCTAGAACGTACTAGTTATCGGCTTCTCTCTTTCATCTGACATTCGCCTCGAATTTTCGCAACAATATATTATGTATGCATGTATGAGCCTGTGTCTTTTTTTGCTATCGAGAAAACGTTGAAATTTTAGAGGAAAACCTTTTTCCGTCACTATCAGGCATTCCATTCGGTGCATTTTGCCGTATGCACTTTATTAATCGTTTCCATCAATGCTTCTATTCTCATTGAAAACAATGTATTTTAAGTAAGATGTTGATAAAGAGATTTTTGATGCACTAATATATCGCCCATCATACATATTTCACTTATGCGATTAATTAGTTTGAAGGATTTAGTCCAAACTTAACTTGCCATTCTAAAATAAGTGCGTAGCGCTTATAAAGGTATAATGCTTGCACTTGTTTACATCAATATTTAAAAATGTGTAGAAGCAGTAAAAAGAACTTTCTGGAATCGCGTGCTACAAATGGATAGGTTATATATGAGCGGCGAGCAACCCACAGTTTATTCATTTGCGTTAGTACAGCGGAATCGCCTATTGTTTAAATTAAAGCGAAGACTGTGAGTGTCGTATGCTAATTGTATGGCAATACGAATTCGTTATTTGGTGAAAATAGTATATCCGGTGTTTTTACGAATCTCGAATTATTTCGTATCTTGGTGTGGTGAGCTTTCACCACTTGACTTCCCCCCGGCAAAAATTAGAATTTTATAAATTAAATAAGTGTGCAGGCAGAAAACTAATACATATATATGTATATATGTATATAATATATATGTGTATACCGTTTTTTACCGAGAGAAGTTTGTAAAAAACTTTAATCTGGGTCCCCAGATATGATAATAAAGTGGCAGCTCCACAATTCCTTACCACATCCATATTCACGTTCAAAAGTCATAAAAATTTTCCACGAGGTCCATGGTAAGGGTAAGTATATAAAAATTTTTATTTCTTTTCTTGAGTTCATATTATTTGTATTCCAGGTCCGAAAAACGTGGTAGTAATCCACATCAGCACAGTTCGCCGAGAACCACGACAGTGAGCAGACGTGTGTGCGGAAAACTACTAACTACACCATATACAAAAAATTAAATTTACATTAGATAAACAGCAGAAAAAAAGACTGAATACATAAATAAGCATAGTTGAATTTAAAATACAAAAGGAAAGTGAAAAAGAAAAACATAAAGAACAAACGAAATGCGCCACGAGGGCGAGGAGCAAAATGGCTCCTCAGCCCAAAAGAACATAAGAAGTCGAAGCAATAGCCGAACAAGAGAGCGGGATCAAAAAAAGAAAAGCGACAAAAACGCAAACAAAGAAATCACAGGCAAAGCAACAAATTCAGAAACGAGGACAAACAAAATGGCGCGCGAAAATGCTAAATATAACGACAACCACAAATGCCCGTTTATAGTCTATCTAGACAAAAAAACAAGAGAGAAGGCGAGAGAACACCATTTAATGCAATACGAATCAGCAAACTTATTCAGGAAAATAAAGTTAAAGATGTTATCGACATTGCGAAAATTGGATATGGCAGATGCAAAATTACCTTTAAAAACGGCAAGGCAGCAAACAACTTCAGTGAACTTAACAACGACCAATATGAGGCGAGAATCTTTGCGCACTTCGTGTCGAAAGTAGGAATAATGTTTGATGCTCCGACGGATATCTCAGAAGAAGAGCTCTTAGAAGATATATCATCGCCAGTCAAAATTATTCGAATAATGAGGGTAATGAAGACAAAAGATGGGGTAAAATACCCAACACGCAGAGTTAAAATAATCTTCGATGGGTTAGAAATCCCTACGGAAGTAGGATTTCTGTATACAAAAATTCAAGTGAAGCCATACGTAGCATTCGCACAATGCTATCGGTGCTTCCGTTTCAATCACTTTGCTCAGCACTGCAAACAACGAAAATCTATTTGCCCGAAGTGTGGAGAAGCACATGAAAACAGCACTAATTGTACAAGCGTGAAGTGTGTAAACTGCAAAGGAAGCCATGAAGCCACCGACAAAGAATGCCCTGCAAGAAGTAAAGCCTATGCCATAAAAAGCATAACAACGTTAGAAAATCTATCAAACCAGGAAGCAAGAATAAAATACAAGAACATCCTAGGAAACAGATTTGAAATACTGAGCGATAACACCACCCTGGACGCAGAATTCCCACAAATACAAGAAAAAAAAACTGCAATGTATAACAACAGAACAGAAGCAGTGAAACATTTGCATCAGCAATTTTCATACGCTAAAATAGCGAAAATAAACAACAACAGAGTAAGGGAAGAACAAAATGCACTACAAACAATGAACGAGTGGAGAAAAGCAACAGAGGAAAAGCCATCTTCCTCAAATGCTAAAATGCTGGCCTACCCAACCAGCTTGGACAGATTTACACAAAAACAGGACGATTGCACAACGAAAATAAACCAAGCCATTAACAATTGCCTAACGCAAAGTACAACAGAAACTAATAACAATAAAGCCTTATAGAAAGCATTAGTAACCATTCAAAACACAATAAAACAAATGACAGTCAATACGGACTTATGGAAAATTCACAAAAACACACCGTAACATGACAGCAACAACAAAAATTTTACCTGGCTTAATAGCATCAAAGAAACAAGTCTCAAAAGCTACAATTATACCTACACAAATAGACAAGATGGATACGGCGGAGTGGGAATTTACATTAAAAAATCTATCAAATTCTCAATTTTTAAACTAGGGTCAAATATTGAGAACACAGGAATCACAACACTTAATTTAAAAAACAATATCAACATCATCAGCGCATACTGCCCAACTAACACAGCAACAACAGAGTTCAAAAACGAAATATATAAACTATTTACCGAAATCAGACAATTAAATAACACCACAATGATAGGGGGAGACTTAAACGCAAAATCATCAACATGGGGCGCCCAAACAACAAACAGCAAAGGCAGTATCGTAGAAAACATAGCGACAGATAACGAGTTTTATTGCCTAAACGACGGTACCCCAACATTTACCCTGAACAACATTTCATCAGCGGTAGACGCAACGTCTATAAACAACTGTATACGATACACCTGGAAAACCTACAACAAAATAACCAACAGTAACCACAAACCAATCATCATCACCTTAACGGACCGATTCACATTCCAACATAAGCCTAAGAAAATAATAACAGCAAACATACTAAAGGATATTACCATCCTAAAAATTGGACCTAATTTTGAAGAAGTCAATAGGGAGATCCAAAGGATAACAAAAAAACACACCATAAACAAGGACAATAACAAATACGTCCCAAAACAGTGGTGGACAGAGGAATCCCAAAAGCTATTCCGACTAAGAAACGCCGCGAGAAATAAATACAACCAATACAAAACGATAGAAAACAATAACATACTATACACAGCAGAAAGAAATCTAAGAATACACATCAAGGAACAAAAGAAAAAGAACTTCAATAAAACATTAGAAGAATTGTCTGAAACCAAAAATATAAAAGAAATGTGGTCTAAGATCAACAATATAAAAAAATATCAATGCGAGAAAAGTATAAGAAACTCATGGAACCCAACAGAGCAACAAAAATACTTAGAATTCATAGCCAGATCACCGATTACGTCAAACATCAATAACCAAGAAATCAATAGTCCGGAAACACCACTGGAAGAAATGTCACTCGAAAACTTCAAAAAATTACATACAAAATGCTAGCTCTACTTCAGACTGAGGAACAAGAAAAATTATGGAAACTGTTAATAAGAGTCTGGCAAGAAGGAATAATCCCCGAAAAATGGAGGGAAATCAAAATAATACCCATACATAAAAAGGACACTGACCCAACCAACATTTACAACTATCGCCCAATATGCTTAATCTCAGTGCTAGCGAAGTCCACAGAGGGAATCCTCAAACTGCATATAGATAATAAGACTACTCAGCTCAACAGTATTCCGGAAAGATCATACGGTTTCAGAAAACACCACTCAACAGCGCAATGTATAAATGACCTAATAAACACAATAGCATTCCATAAGGAAAAAAAAAATAACAGGTAATGGCGGCTTGTGTGGATGTGGAAAAGGCATATGATGCAGTCGACGTCAATACCCTACAAGAGACACTTATAGAAACTCAGTTAAATCCAAAAGCGACAAATTTGATAACATCATTCCTGAGAAGAAGAATATTAGTACTCGAACAGCAAAAGATCATTACAGAAAATGGGCTAGCCCAAGGCAGCGGACTCAGCCCCACATTATTCAATCTTTATACGGCAAAGCTTCACCAAATAAACGACGACAACTGTATTCTCTTCCAATTCGCAGATGATTTCTTTATAGTCTGTTTTCACAGAAAATATCTATTTGCTGCAAAGCAAACATAAGAAGATGTCTAGGCTTAATAATATCATCGCCAACCCACGTCATATACCACATGGCAGCCGAACTGCCACCGAAATACAGATTTGAATTAGCCTCGGCAAAGGAAATGATTAAAAGCATAGCGTATAATCTACCCGCCAAAAGAATGATAATTAATAACCAACTCAACAATAAGACAAACTACGCCCGAATAAACAAGAAATACAGACTAATTCTATTTAACATTGCACCAATTAAAAACACAACCAACCATACCAATAAAATAAAAATAGACATAAAATTTTTCAAGACCACGTACAAGTCCAAGAGAGAAGCAAACCAATCAGTTATCAACGCAACATACAGGGAAAAAATACAACAACTAGAAATAAACCAATTCGAAATAATATTCACGGATGGATCAGTTAAAAGTAACTTATCCGGCGCGGCATTCTTACACGAAAAAACAAACACAACCAAATCCTTCTATTGTACCAAAAACCTATCATCAATGACAACAGAGCTATTAGCAATAGAGAAAGCCGTAGAATTCGCCATTCAAAAAGGATTTGTGAAAGTTGCAAACTTAACAGACAGCTTAAGCGGAATATTAAGGACAACGATAGCGAAAACTACATAAGAAACAACATTGTAGATTTAACCAACAACTCATCAATACAAGCACTAGAAATCCACCACATCCCAGCCCATACCAATATTGCCCTCAATAACAAAGTGGACGAAGCCGCGAAAAAGGCGGGACAAGACGGACAACGATTAAGCATAAAGTGGACAAACAAAGATGCAAAGAAAGAAATCGAAAATAGAATTAAAGAAGAATGGAATCAGGAATATAAGGAGAAAATAACAACAAAAGGCAGAAGCTATGGCGTGATATACCCAGATTTAATAAAGCATACATGGTTCCATAAGAAAAACATTAACATGAATACTAGCCAAATAAAACAATTCAACCGAATCCTGACGAACCACACCTTTTGTAAAGCCACGCTCCACAAAATGAAAATTTACAATGAGGACAAATGCGAAACATGCAACACACAAGAAAACACAAACCACATAATATTTCAGTGTAGTAAATACACAAATACCCGAAATAAGTACCCATCCCTGAAAAATACAACATCGATAATCGACTTCTGTCAAAAAACAAACATCGGAAACTATCAAACCATCTCCAATTTCCTAAAAGAGATTGACATGAACTTATAAATTTATAGTAAAATAAGAGAATTGGTGTTGGCGATATAGCTATATAGCTGGCCAAATAAATCTTCACACGGCCAAGCTGTGATGAAGTAACATTAAAACCAAAAAAAAAAACCACAGCAGCCGGTACATGCGTATACGACATTCATCCTACTATATTAATATTGTTGATGCACATGCGTGAAGCGTTGAGAATATCACCACCCCAGCCACTACAACTACAACTATGTGAGCACCGGGCTACGAATGCACATCACCATAAATATGCACAAAAACTATAAAAAGGTAAGAGTTTATTATTTGAACAACTCTAGGTATATTGCACAAAACTAAATCAGTAATATTATCTTTTCATATATGAAGAAACGACGCTGCAGCAGCATTAGCCTTTGGCCACTTTAACGGAGAAAAGGAAGTTAATGAACCTTATGGGTCAAATGATAAGCACAACTTAGGACATTTGCCATGGAATCCAGGATATATTTTCGTTGATGAGGCGCTCAAGCTTTGTGATGCCTTGGAGGTAAGTTTCCGCGACGGGTAGCAAATAAATTAAAGCTTTGTAAGTTTCAAATATATGAATTTATTTTAAAGATTACTGGCTCCCCACAACGTCTCATAATGCCGATTATGCGTACAATGGATGCTAAACAGGTGTACGATGTATTCCCAGTCATTGTACCGAATGCCGGACGTGGTAATCCTGAAAACAGCTCAGAACTCTTGACTAAATTTTTGGATAAATATAGCCAGACCTAACAAAATAGATTTACTATACTTGGCAGACTGCGAATGCGATTTGAGCTAAACTTATTTAACTGTGTGAGTTGGGTAAGATTTAACATTTAACAACCACATACATATGTGAAGCATGGAAGATCGTAAGTGCATATGAATTACAATTATTCGACTTGTGTATTACAATTACATCGTAATGAAAATATTTAAATGTTTAACATACATATATACAATGTGGCGTGTTTAACTAACTACGTGATTAATAGTAGCATAGGTTGTCGAATGCATAATTATGAAGAGATAGTAATGGATATTATCTTTATTTTAATTTTTTTTTTTTGTATTATTATTTTTAAGAATATATCATTAAGCGGTTTGACTGTTTATTTACTTTGTTGAATTGATTAAAGCATTCAAGCCGTATACTTGTCTCAATTGCTTTACACGATTTTCCATAATATATAATTAATAATAGTTAAATTAGTACCGTTTTAAACGCACTTCAAGCTAATTAAGTATGAAATAAAAACCAAACAAAAAACAATATAAATGAGAATTTGAAGCCTAATGTTACTGGAAAATTAATACAATCAAATCATAATTAATATCGAAAAAAATCATAAACGAAACGTCTACCCATATGGATGTTATACTGAAATGCCTTAAAAATAAAATCTCGTACGATTCGAAATGCAAACTATCACTTAGGATTAATGGAATTATTTACCAAGTCTTTACCATTGGCACAAGTTAGTGTTATAAACACATAGAAAACAAAAAATAAATAAATAATTGAACTGCCAGTCAAGGAGATAGGCATTATTATTTGCAATTGGTTGGGGTATTCTATGTGGTAAGTAAGTGGTGTCATTTTTACATATAATGTGTAAATATGTCTATTAATACCACATATGTACATATTCATTCACAGCCGTTTTGCGCACAAATCGGTATAAATACCTCAACATGTATACTGCAACGAGGGATGATTTGAAATATAAACATACATATAATATGTTAGGAATGCGTCGCAGTGGGTATATGGATGGCGTTACAACATACTTCCAGGTATTTCTTTTTTTTTTTTTTTGATTTTTATATGAAATCATATGCATCAATGGGCTTTAGTACAGATTCATATAATATGATCTGTCTATAATATTATATTAAATATTTATGTATATGTCTGGGTCCGGCATCTATTTGATTGTACTTTACTTAAATGCGTTAGGTCCGTAATTTCCTTTGTTTATACATTCGCAAGTATGTAGAATGGTTTTATACATATCTACGTACATAGTGAATGGCACATCTCAAATGATTCCGGGAACTATGTAGTTATTGATTTGAACATGAATACTGATTTATTGCCAGTGTAAGGCTGCAACTACCCATTTCACTCACCTGCCGTCCATAACTGACGACGTTAGTAGTAAAATACATACACGAGCTATCGACGCCGCTGAGAGCGGCGAAATGTTGCCAGCTGCCTGTGTGTTTGCACACTTTNGGCGAAATGTTGCCAGCTGCCTGTGTGTTTGCACACTTTTGAACAAATTCATAATTTTCGTCAACGAATTTCATAATTTATTTGCTTTAACATAAACACAAGGCAAATATACATGATCTATATAGTAACAAATAATTAGTTACGCATTTATTTTTCATTTCTGTTGAACAAAACTACGCATTATTTTCGATTATTTAATGTTACTTTAAGAAAGGCTATACTGGCAACCTTGTATAGCAACGAAAAATGAGCCGAGCCGGTTTTACGGAAAAATCAAAACTTCGTTGGTTTCTGCGACACAAACGTCAGCAACGCTATGGTAAATCGGTGATAACTTTGTGTTTACATGGCGCTCTCATAAGATAGGTTACTATGGACGGCTGGTACGCTCGTTGGGTAGTTGCAGCCTAAGAGATTTCCTTTTTTTGACCGACTAATGGACTTAGTATCGAATGGTTAGGAAGTTAAAGTTTGAGGCTGTTTATATTGAAGTACTTTCGTAACGGAGTTCTTTAAGTTCAAGAATCCGATGAAGCCAGGGCTTTCGTTTCGGGGGCCAATGCTTTGGGCACATTCGGGTTCGGTGTTAGCAGTGATGATGATATTTGATCATTGGGAATCTGAGGAAGCTTGTACATAGTCGAAAAGAGGCGTTTGAGTAGGCAAAAGGTATGTTACTTGTTGCTACGGCTTGTTAATGGGGGTGTTTTTTTTTTCAGGGGAAAAACTGTAATATGGAAGTTTTTCCTATGTAGGTATGTACATATCAGTATGTATTTACGAACATATGAGCGTCGATCTGTGTTTGTTTACATGCGCAAGAAAACAAACACATATATATGTCTGTATGCCTAAATAAACATATGTGGGTATGCATGCACGTATGTGTGTAAGTCGATATATATGTATGTCCGTATATATCGGTATGTATGTCCGTACATATGTATGTGCGTATGGGTATATATGAGTTTATTTAAGTGTACATGAACATATACATATATCTTTGTGTGTTGTGTATATGAATATAATATATAATACACATAATTTTTATTATCTTTTATGTACCTTACGTAAACGGATTTTTGTTAGTATTTTCGTCGACGTCAGAGGGAAGTAAGACCAATTTCGCGATTGGTCTCGTAGTTTGCCCCTTCGATGTTTCCACATCCACTACCCGTACTCGGTTGTCGGGACCTGGATGCAATTTGGTGATCCTTCCCAGTCTCCATTCATTGGGTGGAAGGTTGTCTTCTTTGATGAAAACTAGGTCTCTCATTTTGAGGTTGGATTGAGGATGCCTCCATTTGTTGCGCTTCTGCAATTCGCTAAGATATTCGGACTTCTATCTTTTGCAGAAAGTTTGGTGTAGGGCCTTGAGTTTTTCCCATCTGTTGACGATTGACACGCGGTTTTCGTCAACATTGATTTCTGGTGGTGCAAGAAGCACACTACCAACTAAAAAGTGACCTGGAGTAAGCGGCTCCAAGTCTGTAGAATTGTTTGACGACGGACTTAACGGTCGAGAGTTGAGACATGACTCGACTCGGCATAGGAGGGTGCTAAACTCCTCGAACGTGAATTTATGATCGTTTGCGATTTTCCTGAAATGAGTTTTGAAGCTTTTCACTCCTGCTTCCCATAGGCCACCCATGTGAGGAGCTGCTGCGGGTATAAAATGCCAATTTAGGAACTGATGTTGGTATTTAGACAAAGCACTAGAACGTGCATCAGCTATGAAGGCTTTAAATTCGGCCTTCAATGATCTAGAAGCCCCCCTACAAAGTTGGTTCCATTGTCCGAATATACATTTTTTTGGACATCCACGCCTGGCTATGAACCTGGCCAAGGCTGCTAAAAAGGAGGAAGTACTGAGGTCTCTGGTGGCTTCTAAATGGATAGCTTTTGTTGAAAAACAAACAAATAGGCAGAGGTAACCTTTGGAAATCCTTCAACCCCTGCCGCGGGAAGACTTAATATTGAAAGGTCCAGCGAACGTGAACGCTCTGGAAAAGGTAGTGCGTTCTTCTGGAAGGATTCCCATAAGTTGGGTTTGCGTTCGTTTTTTGTATATTGTGCAGACCTTACAGTTGTGTATGACGGATCGGATCATGTTTTTGACCCTGGGAATCCAGAATTGTGACCGGATTAGCCGCAGCATCAGCTGATTTTCCCCATGGATGGATACTTGGTGGACAAATTGGACATAAAGACGGGATAACTTGGCACTATATGGAAGAAGAATAGGATGGCGCTCACTGTACGATAGATCAGAAGATGCGCTGAGGCTCCCACCAGCTCTCATAATGCCATCTTTGTCGATGAATGGGTTAAGAGGCAGGATCTCACTTTTCCCCCCAATGGATTTTCCCGCCTTCAATCGTTCATATTCTACACTATAATACCGTTTTTGACAAATGTTTATTAGACACTGAGTCGTCAACTTGATTTCGTCGGGCGAAATTAAGTTAGACTCTGTCTTAAAGAAAGATTTGGTTTTCGGATGTGTTCTTTGATAGAATCTCCTTATATAGGAGATCACTCTCAAAGCTCGCGAGAAATTAGAAAGTCTATTCAGAATATCTTGGGAGTCGTTTACTGTTGATGTATGAATATGCACTCTTTTTTCCTCTATAGTTGTTTGTTGTTCGATTTCGTTTACAGGCCATTTCGTGTCGTCTTCTTGTAACCAAGAAGGTCCCTGCCACTACAAAGGGTTATCGACTAATTCTCCGGCTGGTAACCCTCTGCTGGCCAGGTCTGCTGGGTTGGACTCTGAGTCAACATGGCGCCAGTTTTTGCTCCCAACCTCTTTCGACTATTTTTGTTACTCTATGGGCAACAAAGGTTGACCAGGAGCACGGTGGTTTTCGTATCCATGCTAATACGATGTAGAATCCGCCCAGAAATGAGTAGCTAAATTACCCAGATTGAGTTGGTTGATAATGGATTCCATTGTTTCAGTCGCGGTAAAGATATCGTTTTGACTGGCGCTACTCGTGTTTTTGCCATCAACAGGTTCACGTTAACTTTGCCTTCAATCTTAATTTTTAGAAAAATCGTAGCTGCATATGCTTTCTCTGATGCGTCACAGAATCCGTGTATTTCTGCGGTGGCTCACGGTGTGAAGTTGACCCATCTTGGTATACGAATGTTGTTAATTTCCGCATACCCGCTTACAAAGGTTTGCCACCGATTCATGGTAGTTGACGACACAGTTTCGTCCCAGTCGGTTCCCTCTAGCGAAATGTTCTGCATTAAGATTTTGGCAACTATTATGATTGGTGCAAGCCATCCAAGTGGATCGAATAGCTTGGCGATCGCGGAAAGAATCGCTCTCTTCGTGATGATTCCCTTGCTGTCTATAGGCTTGGTAATAAAGTAAAAATAGTCAGACCGGGCATTCCATCTGATTCCAAGAGCCTTTACGGTGCTAGTGTCTTCGAATTCCAAAAAGTCTGTATTTAGCAAGTGTGACTTTGGTATGCCATCTAAAACTCTAGTGCTATTGGATGTCCATTTGCGCAAAGGAAATCCATATGAAGTCATTACTTGTGATATCTCCTCTCGAGCACGTATTGTGGAATCCAGACTATGTCCATCTGAAAGTATGTCATCTACGTACATACAGTTACGGAGAATGTTTGATGCTATCGGATAGTTTTTCTCAACATCATCTGCTAATTGATGTAAAGTCCTAATAGCTAGGTAGGGCGCGCAGTTAATGCCAAAGGTAACCGTTTTCAGCTCGAACAAACTGATAGGTTCCTCAGGGCTCTTACGAAAAACTATTCTCTGGAATTTCGTATGCTCCCGATTTACCAGAATCTGTCGATACATCTTCTTTATATCGCTGTTGAAGACATACTTATAAAACCTCCATCGTAGTATTAGAATTGGGAGGTCTGCCTGCAGAATCGGGCCAGGATATAGGACGTCATTTAAGCTCACGCCATTAGCAGTAGGGCATGAGGCGTTGAATACCACTCTAACCTTAGTGGTAGTGCTTTCCTCTTTGAACACTGCGTGATGAGGTAAGGAGTAGCAGTCAGTGAAGTCTGCTTGTATGCTGTACGGAATTTTGGACATATGGTCCAAAGTTTCGTATTCGCATAGGACTCTGCTGTATTCCGTCTGCAACTCAGTTTTCTTTGCCAAACGCGTTTCATTGCGGTAGAACTGAGCGCACGCTCCTTTCAGTGAGGGTCCCAAAGAAATGCCACTTGGATAGTCCTGTTTGAAGGGCAAGGAGACCACATATTTCCCGTCAGCATTCCTTTTGGTAGTAGCTTTGAATAGCT